ACTTTTATAGGAATTCAGCATGCTTCAACCCGAAAACCTGCACTTGGCACCCCCAAGTTGACAGTAGTGATTGCAGGTAGAAAGCCTGAGAAGTTCCAACCCTAAACCCGAAAAAACTACCGGTAAGGGTTTAGGGTTAAGGGTAAGATGTCTTGAGCGAGGTCTTTGAGTCACAGAAAAATTCAAGGCTCGGGAAAGGGAGCACTTAGAAGCTGTGCTCCCAGTACGGATTCTAAGATCTTCCAGCATGTAGTAGTGCTCACCAATCTGTGACTTGTATGAAATCAACAACTTCCTGGCAAGGACCTTATATCATGCGCATGTAAGGCACTGTCTATTCAATGGGCTTGTGAGAGTACTACATATTGCACCCCCGAACTTCCCCAAGTCCTCCACCGAGCTGAGCAAGTGATCACCCGCAGTCAGTTCACCTCCACTGCTGACATGGGCTTCACAAGAACATGGGTGGGGTCCCGCTTGCATTCTGGTTTGGACACGCACGGGAGTCTGGAACTCCACCCCTCAATCCATAAGCCCTAAACCGCCATTGCTTCTGCTTTTCCACGAATCAAGCCTGAAATGCATTCCATCCTTCCCTCTTGAAGCCCATCCTCGTAGCCCTAGACCCTATAACCCCTACGTACCCATATATTGCAATGTAAACACTTGGGAATATTTAATAGTAGAGGGTGGGGGGTTTTACATTAGGAGGAAAGAGGGATTAAACCTTAGTCACGCTGGTGGAGGCAGACGTGCAAGCAGGAGTCGCGTTAATCAAGCCACATGCGGGCGCCCTAGCATCCCAGCTCCTTTGAACGTTGCAGGTGCAGTCTTTACAGATATGGGCTCAAGACTCCTGCCTATGAACATCGGGATAGTGGAAAAGAAAATGGAAACTCCTATTTAGGGCTTCGGGTTTGGGGTTAGGTTACCCTTTATTGGGGCAAGTTTAGCTTGCAGGGGATGGAGGATGGATGCCTATATTAATATACAATTCCCCACCAGCAATACCCTCGTTTCCATGTTCCGTTCCATTCCCTACAACCATACTATGGGGAGTTTTGTCACCCCAACCTCTAAGAATAGGACCCTCTTATGGTCACATGATAGGTGCCCTGGAAGAATTTCGCATTCTGGGAGCGAACTTACCCCTAGAGCCTCAAGCCCCGGATGGTTTTGCCCGGGATCCGACATCGCTTGGAGTTATGCACATGGGGTTTGCTCCTGTAAACAGTGAGGTTTCAAAATCTATGTGGATTCTTGCCTTAAATTGGCCCTAAATGCAGGACTCCAAGATGATTAGGCACCAATTTGCTATAGTCCTCAATTGGGGTGGGGGGCTGCCAAAAGGGCTTCTCCAGTTTCGGAAAGCCCCTTTTCTATGAACCGACACGGGGCACGGTCAGCCCAGCCATTTTTAAGGAGCCGTATAGACTTTTTCACGACGACTTTGGCCCGCACTACTACGTTTCTTAGTGCTGGTATTGTTGCCACTGTTGCTATTTCTAATACCAATTCTAATTACCACATATTGCTACTGTATCCACTCTTCTTTTTACGATTAGTAATGCGTTTGTTTGGAGTTTTCAATTCTCTCCATAAACCCTAAACAAATCAGAGAGGCGTGCAACTACAAAAATCCCTAAGTCATCTCTTAAAAGTCTAAGATCTAGATACTCGGATGCCCCAATAATGATCACATTGCCGCATTGGGGAAACTAAGGGGTTCTAAGGAGGCTCCTTGTTTGGATCCTAGGCCCTAGTCCGAACCCCTGAACTCTATCCTAAATCCTAAGCCCTAAGCCCATGAAGGCGAAGCCAACCCATCACTTGATCACCTAACCTGGCTTTAGAAGTTTAGAAATATTCTGTAGTATTCCAAATTATTGGCAACTCTGGGTTTTGTAGGGTAGAATGACGGCAATTCGGGTTTTGGTGCCTACTTTTGGGGCCTGGGTTGAGGTCATGCCTAGAACCAGTGTTGATGAGGTCGGACAACTACAACTAATTTTCAAAGGGGATGCGGGAGCTGAGTCGCCTTCATGGAACTATTTGTGCAACGACCGATTCAGTGCTTGCACTCGCAGAAGCAAAGACTAACACAATTTCACAGTTGCAATGCGCATGAGAAAAATGTGTTTGAGTAATTACCACTTTTTTTGAACAAGTGTGTAAAGCCAGGGATACAACTCGCCTCGCAAAAATCATTCCACCCAGTCTTACTCTTTGCAATGATGGCTCCCCTCCAGAGTTTCCCTGGACACCATGATTCTGGTTACACGTTTACTTGCGGTTCTTGCACTTCATCTCCAGAAGCACCATCGGATTCACTGACAGACATGGTAGATTCCCCCAAATACGGGGAACCCCATATAGTCCCCAAAATACTATAGTCCTTATTAGAGGGACCCCCAAAAAGGCACCGCTAATCTTGGGAAACACGCACATGCATCATTCCGCATCTGATAAATCCAGGGCCCCGCATCCCTACATCTGCAGCTGTACACTGTGCTAGAAGCGTATGGCTAGGTGCCAAAATGTGACCTGCTGTCTAAACTCCTTAAATGTGGGATTATACAGGGGAGTATATATGGGAGTATTATAGGGCTCATTAAGGGGGATGCTAGGAGTGTAGACTATAGCTCATGTAATCCCCAATATTTGCCTTCCACACCGGCATGCCAATCCTGATCCAGGATGCCACTGTGCCTCCTGCACCTCCTGAAGCAAGACTTTTCGTAAAATGCTAGTGCTATGCTGCATCAAAAGCCGCAGCCAACTAAACTTTAAATCCTAAACCACAATGCTCCCCGCCCTTAACCCCAAAGCCCTGGACCTGCCCAGACAAGTGCCCACATGAGCTATAGTTTGAACTGCTCGTCAGGGATTATATAGGGGATTATACAGGGGAGTATTATAGGGCTGGTTACGGGCGATACTTTAAGAGGACTGCGCACCCTGTAAAGGTGGTATAATAGGAGTATAATAGTACCCTAATATATTCCTTATTATCCCTTATAGTCACTATTACAGGGTGAGGGTCCTCCTCAAGGATACTCCCTAAACTCTAAACCCTAAACCCTAGACTGTAGCCCACATGAGAGGTCAACGTTCTTCTTGAAAGCATGCCAGGCCCTTAGGTTGGGGGGGGGGGCTCTATTGGAATTCTGTAGGGTTAAATGGGGATTATCTATGGATACATTGGGGACTGCAAGGAATATGGAAACTCAGAAGTGAATCCTTCGGGTTCAGAGTTTAGCATAGTTGACATCTGAACGCACTGGTACAATATCCTTTGGCGGGTTTCTCGTTTTCAAGGTAACATATGAGAGGTTTCAAGGTTTGGAGTTGTTTAGGGGCTTGGCCTTTCAGGTTTTGTTTGGGTAAGGCGTTTTTTCGGGCTGCGGGCCTTGCGGTGTATGGCAAGGGAGTTGAGAGTTCAGCGTTTTAGACCAGGATTAGAATTTAGGGTTTAGGATGTGTTCTTTTTTGGTTGAAAGGTCGAGGACTACAAGTAGAAAACATGATAAAATAAGCCTAGCAACGCAGACCTCAAAGGAACCTCCAAAGGCGTCACGATTGCAATGCACCTGCAGTCTCCAAGGACAGAAACATGTCATACCTGCTACCACCCCTAAACCCTAAACCGCCTGCCTTCCTCAGAAACTCTTGCGGGTGTCAGCCTCGTTTTCAAGTAACGAAGGTCCCCGGAGGCTTCGGGGTTCCTGGTGGGGACTATATGCATTCACGCGTCTGCTTGGACCTTCTTTTGTATGGGTCCCCCCCCCGCGGTGAACCATTGACTCTTCTCTGCAATACGGAGCCACCCCCCACAGTCGCCGCGCAATTCAACTCTATAGAACCCATGAGTCTCGGTAGTAGCCTTGAAGCTGGTATTTGTTTGGCGTATTAGTGTTAGTACTGGCACTATCATTGGCATTAAAATTTGCTTGCCTCCTTAAACCAACTGAAAATCTATTTAAATCAGTTAAAAGCCAGTTACACTCACTCAAAACCAAATTCAGATCAATTGAAATCTGACATCTAAATACAAATTACGTAGAAATTTTCAGAATCAATTGGAGATGTACTTGAAGTCAAGTAAGACTCAAGTAAAACCAGTTGAAATAAAATTAAAACCAACCGAAGCCAACCAACTAAACTCTATTCGAACTCAATTCCAATCCGGTTAGAATCGATCAAACCCTATAATTAAGATAAACTTGAAAAATCCACTTAAGATCATGTATAAACCTATGTAAAACCATGTAAACTCTGGTTGGAACCAACTGAGAACACAATTCCAACCAAGTGAAATATGATTGAATGCTATTTTAAAACCAACTAAAGACCAATTGAAACCGTAGTAAAACCAATTGTAATCCGATTGAAGTCAGGTGGAAATTCAATCAAACCAAATAAGAACCTAGTCGAAAGCCGTTCAAATCCAACTAAAATCCATTGACGACCTACTTAAAACAATTTGAAATCTAATTAAAATCAAAATAAAGCCAGTTAAAGCCACTTGAAATCCAACTAGAACCATGCTAAAATCAAATCAAAATGGATGCTATCCATGTGAAAATAGAGGCAGCGGAAAAAAAAAGAGGCACATGTCCACACATGTTTGAGCTTGTGCTGCAGCTTCAAGGGCTCTGAGGGTCTTTTATGAGGCCACTGCCGCTGGTTGTCAGCGGGGCTTCTGGAGCGGTTGCTGGGATCGTCCTTCAGGTTCTCCGGGAATTGTCTTTGGGAACTGTAGTGCCTCCTGGACCTGATAAGCTTGAACCTTATCCTGCTGCGGTCTGTGAGGCATTGGACTTTCAGGCCTCCTCCTTCTTGCAGGACCTGCACCTTCCATCTTGGACTTTAGGCCTGATCTGTGGACTGCTTGCCTGGCCTCTGCTGGATTTCCTCCTTATAGTTAGGTGGGGATTGTTCCGAGCCGCAAGGAAGGCTGCCAAGCCATTTGTGCCGGGGGAGCTCTACCGCCTCACTGAATGAACTCTGAGGTTTCGGCAGTCAGGGCTGAGTTGTCTGCTCTGAAAGTCCTCGTCCTAAGGTTGGAAGCGCGTGTGGCAGAGCTTGAGGCTCGATTGGAAGGTTTTGAGGTTGTGCCTCCTGTGGGGGAATCTGCATCACCTGTGCGACCCACTTCCTCTGCCGGGGAACCTGCTACGCCTGCATCGCAACCAGCTGCTGGCGGCAGCGCCACTGCCACAGTCCTTTCCAGGGACATTGTGTTTTCTGACGGCAGCTGTGCTGCTTCTCCCGGGGCTCCTGCATCAGCTTTCCGCACTGCCCTCGCCCAACAAGTGGGGCGGTTCCTGCGTGCGTGCCTGGAAGGAGGACACAGGAAGAGTTCCGGGCGTGATTTGTTGGATTTGCAGTCTCGCTATTACATTGTTGTACGCGAGTACTCAGGTGTTGTGCACGATCCTCCTCGCATTTTCACTGCCTTTGGGAAGGTGAAGCCTCTCTGCTTCCGAGGGTCCGATAAGGGAGATTCTGTGTTTGTGGGTCTGCCTTCGCAAGCTGAGGTCCGTGTCGCTTTGGGCGCAGCAGGTCTCCTTTGCCCTGCCGGCAGCCTAGATGCCTGAGCACGAGGGTCTCGATCTGGGGATTCCCGCGCCCGGAATCCTCGATAACCTTGTCAGTGATTTGGGTGCAGACTTTGTCATCGGTGCTTTGCATTTGGAGCGCGAAGCTGAATTGGTCACTTGCCAAGTGGCCGCTGTTGCACAGTCTGGGGAAGGCGTCGTTGTTGCTGTTCCCCATTCCACTTGGCACAGGCAGGCCGCCAGACGCCGCTTGCCTCCGCACACCTTGAGCCGAGCGACCCCTGCTGAAGTTTTAGCCAGTGAGGAAGCCAATCCTGGTGAAGCCCATCCTGTATGGAAGGTCAAAGTTTGGTTAGGGGTCCTGAGCCACGAGGCCGCTGAGGCTTCGGTTTTCGCAGAAGAGGATCAGGATGCCGACATCGTTTTCGTGCTTGCCGGGACCGGGGCGGAGTGAATCCACCTCCGAGAGCCCGCCCTTTTGCAGGTTCGTTAGCTGCCATCGCTTCCGAGCATTTTGCTTTTCTTTCGGCCGAGAGTCAAGAAAAAAGGAAGCCGCTTTGGATCGGCGCCTCAGGACAGTCGAGGACACTCTTTCCCAGATCCAGCGAAGCCTCGCCACCCTTACCGAAGCCCGGCCAGCCGCCGAGGCCTCTCAAGGCTCAGAAGAGGAGTCACTTCTGCCAACGGTTCTGCGCATCGTGGAACTTCAGCCTGCCCGGATTAGATCCAGCTGTAGTGGAAGCAGCCAGGCAGGCCGGCATTCCCGAAAGCCAACTTGTTCACATACCAAGCTGCGGGGGCGAAAGCACTTCCCACAGAACCGCGGCCGAGGGCGGCTGGACCGCTCGACAAGGAGGAAGATCTTGACGAGAGCGACGAGTCTCCTCCTTTGCCCGGGGATCCCCTGAGTCAGGCGGTCGTGAAGATGTCTCAGATTCTGGCCTCGATGCACAAAGAAAAGAAAGGAGACCTGCAGAGCTCCTCGACCGCATCGGTGGAGGCGACGAGCTTCTAGGTGGCTTTGGAGGCCAGGGCCGCTCAAAGGCAGCGGCGTACCAAAAACTGAAGGGCCTTCTGCGAACGGGCCCGGAGCAGATTTCGAGGTCCATATAGAGACTGATGACAGAGGACTTCATGCTGTGCCAAACCGGACCGGGACAGGAGATTCGCCAAGCGTGGACTTTGGGGGGAATCATCGATGCTCTGAACAACAACAATCCAGAGCAGGCGAAGGCAATTGCCCTCCTAGCCCTCGCAGCGCTCGATCAGAGCGCCATCGATTCGGGCAACTGGCTGCTTGCATCGGAGTTCAGCCTCGAGGGCGCTCCGCCCTTCAGTGCATTCCAGCGGTCAAGAGTGTTAGATCCTTTGGAGTCCAAGCAGACAAAGATCATGGACAGCAGGTGGGTCAGCATCTTGATGAGCCGTTTGAAAGAGCGGGACGCCTTCCCCAGCTCGACTCAAGGGGACGAGCCCCCAGGAGGCGGAAAAGGCGGCGGAGGGAAGCCGGAAAAGCCTCCCCGCAAACCCAAAAAAGGAGGGAAGACTGGAGACAAGGAGAAAGGCAACTGAGCCTTTCAGGAGAGGCCGACTCAAAAAGCGTGGAGCGCTTCCCTTTCGCTGTGCGGACTTTGGCCCGATTGCATCCAGCCTTCTTCAGCAAACGAATTTGCAGCCTTGCCGGGCTGATCCCGGGGTGCCGCTTCCTTTTGTCAGAGCTTTCAGCCATGCCGGCTGAAGAATGCCCGGAGCCGCTCTGCTCCACCACGATTGCTGATCCCTGGAGCCCCAGAGATCCCTTTTGCGATTGAATCTGAAGGGTCGAGTTCCCGTCCCAAAACTTTCTATGGGGACGTTTGACTCCGTTCCCCCATTGGCCAAACTCGCTCCTTCCGGATCTGCTTGCACCAGCCCCGTCGCTGCTGATAGTTTAAACCCGTGTGGGAAGCAGAGGTAGGGTTTTAGACCTGACCCCTTTAAGGGTTTGCTAGTTTTCCAGGCCAGCGTGCAAGCTCCTTTTGTACGAGCACTGCTGGAGAAGAAAGCTAGACCTCACCCCTTTAGGGTTCCCTAGTGCCTTGGCCTTTGACCCCGTGCACTGTGTGCCTGCCGGGTATCAAGCAGCTGGTGTCGCTCTGCCGACAGCGTGATTCCGCAAAAGCATTGGTTCGTAAGGATAGGGGGTTTTAGTCCTGAGCCTACCTCGTTAGGGTTCCCTAGTGCCTCGGCCCCCTCTACCCGTCTTTCAGGATGCCGCCAGATATCCAGAGGCGTTCCTGCACTAGGGTTCGGGGTAGTTGTGTGGGACGACCTTCCGTAGGGTTTTTTAGACCTTTAGCCCGCGCCTCCAAGCCCAGTGCGAACTGCTCTCAGGCGGACCGTTGCAAACCTTTTGAAGAGTCCGCTGCCGATGTTCAACCTGAGCGTGCTCCTCCGGACCCAGCCAGGGCCCCAGGCTCTCGCGCCAGCACAGTTTAATCTGCTGAGGTTTGGAGCTCATTTTTCCGTGCCTTCATGCAAGTGCCGCCTTTCAACCTTTTTCCACAGTATCCGAGAATCACCTTGCGTACAGCAGGGGCCCTCCGCGGGAACCGGGTTCAAGGGAACCCGAGCCGTCTGGCCCGTCTGGCCTATGCTTCGTGCTCGTGAGATCCCGAGCGGCTCGCTCTGAATGCCATTGTACTTTGCCTGGGTTGGCTTTATCTAGGCATGCCCCAAGTTTGTTCAGCTCATCTGGGGTTGGGCTAAGTTGAGTCCTTCTCAATGCCAGGCTCTTGAGCAACTCCGGCCCAGTGTCAGTGGGGCCCGTGCGGACCTTCCGACATGAGCCGAGCTGCCTCTAAATTTGAAGCTTATGAAGATGAGCTTGATGCGATCAGAAGACATGTTGCCAAATATCGAGGAGCTGAGTTCCTCCCTGAGCTCGCCTTTCAGGCTCTTTCGCACGCACGGCCTGTGGAGCCTGGTGGAGCCTAGTCGATTACGCTTTGTGGAGACTCCCTCGTTTGACCCTACTCCGTTCCTTGACGATGCTAATCGCAGAACCTATCTCAGAGCGCTGGATTACGTTCATGAAATTCCTCCTGAGGTGCCAGTTCCGAGGGTCTGTGTTCGCACACGACCTGGGAAGCTGAATGCTCTGCTTGAGCTGCTTGCGTCCTCTGACCGATTAAAGCTCGTGCCCAAATCTCGGCTCAAAAATGGTCTGCGGAACGGAATGTTCTCTCTGGCCAAAGACGAAGCCCGAGATCGGATGATCCTCGATGCAAGACCTCCTAATCTGGCAGAGCGGACAGAGGAACGATGGATTCGTTCCTTAGGAGCGCTGGAGCAGCTTCAGTTTATGTACCTTGCGCCGGAGTATGACGTGGCGATTTTCGCCGAAGATCTGAGGGAGTTCTATCATGCCTTTCGCATTTCTGATCAAAGAACTCAGCGCAACGCTTTAGCTCTTTGCCTGCCTGCGGCCGACCTGAATTGCCTCTGTAACTGCTCAAAGCTGTGTTCTGGTTCTTCAGGTTCTGAGCCGCTTGTCCCTTGTTTAGGCACCATGGCGATGGGGGATACCAACGCAGTAGCCTATGGGCAGACTTCCCACCTTTCTTGCATCCTTCGGACAGGTGCCTTGCGACTGGAGCAATTTGTTACCCTTTACGGCCGTCCTGGACGACCCGGGGAGTTGGTCGCAGGTTTGCTCATTGATGACTTCATTTTGTTGGATCCTGCGCTGCGTGCTCGACCCGTCTCTCCTTCAAGGGGCGAACTAGTCATCGAGAAAGTCGTTCAAGGTTACTCCGATGCAGGGTTGCCCAGGCATGAGGGTAAAGCTGTTGCAGGCGCCTTTGAGGGCGAATTCTGGGGAGGGTTGTTGGACGGCAAGTCGGGTCTCCTCCGACCCAACCCTAAGCGCGTCACTCCCCTCGATCCTCAAAGTGCTGCAGGTCGGTTTCTGCACTGCCAGGCTTCTTGCTCTGATTGGTGGTTTAGTCTCTGCGCTGCAAATGCGGCGACGGCTCCTGTCGCTCCTTGAGGTCTGCTATCAAGAGCTGCGAGGCAGAAAGCCTGCTGAAGTTTTCGCCTTGAGGACTGAGACGTGCTCAGAGTTGCTGTGTGCCTGCAGCCTTCTTTGCCTCGCTGATGTCGACCTCCGAGCTCCAGGGGCACCATGCATTGTGTGCAGCGATGCTTCCTCCGTCAAAGAAGCCGCTGTTCTGGCTGAAGTGTCTCCTTTGTTCAGTGTCGAGGTTTGTCGGCGTGGCCTGCAACGAGGGCTCTGGACCCGCCTGCTTAAGCCTTTCGAGGCCTTGCTCCGTGAAAGGGGCGCCGAGGAGAGCGTCCCTCTTGACGAGCGCGATGAGGCCTACGAGAGTCATCCCCTCTGGGAAAGTCTGGCTCAGCACCTTCAGTTCAAGCTCCTGGGTAATATTAAGTCCTGAAGTGTTCTGCCCGGCGGCATATAAATGTCGGGGAGTTGCGTGCAGCCATTCGTGCTGAAGAGCGTGTGGGCATGATGTATCCTGGCAGCCGCTACTTGCACTTGCAGGACAGTCAAGTCTCTTTGGCTTGCATGGTGAAGGGACGTAGTTCAAGCAGGTCCCTGAACTTCGAGTTGCGGCGTTCGCTGCCCCAGCACTTGACTAACAGGATCAGGCCTGCGTATGGCTTCTTGAAGAGTGCCTATAACCCAGCCGATGATCCTACCAGAGATGTCGAGATTCGCTCTGCCTGGGGAGATGTGCCTGCCTGGCTCGCTGGGGCTCTGCGGGGGGAGTTTGCTGAGCTTGACAACTGGCTTCGGGAGCGAAGCATGCATTTAGACCAGCTCAGGCAGCTTCCTCCTGTACAGGAGCTAGCCTGCTACAGTTCCTTGCAGCAAGCCCTCTCCTCAGGTCCAGGGTGGCTCGACTTGTTTTCAGGGTCCAGGGGTTTAGCTAAAGCCATTGCTACGACTTGCTTCATTCCAGTACAGAGGACTTGCTCTGTTTCGAAGTACAGCAGGAGATTCTCAGGTTGGTCAGAGCGAAAGCTTTCCGAGGTTTTTCTGCTGGTCCAGTTTGCAGCTCCTTTTCGACAGCTATTGCGCCGGCTTGGCGTACAAAAGAGTTTCCTGAAGGTGTGCCATCAGTTACGCTCTCCCAAGCTGGGAAGCTACGAGCTGGTAACATGATGCTTGAGTTTGTCCTCATCCTCGTCTCTGAGGCGGAACGTTTGAGCATGATCTACATAGTCGAGAACCCCCAAAATAGCTGGATGTGGGCTCAGCCTGCGTGGAAGTCCCTGCACAAGGACTATCTCACTCGGGATTTCCTCACTGAGTACTGCGTCTATGGGACGCGCTGGAAGAAGGCGACTCGTTTCAGAACGAACGGCCAGCTTGGAAATCAACGACTACGCTGCTCTCGTGACCACGTTCACCAAGTTCTTCGAGGACGGGGCAGAACATCTGGCATTAACTTCACGAAGCTTGCCGAGCCGTACCCTCGGCGCCTTTGCGAGCTCTTGGGGCAAGCCCTGGTGCAGGATGCGAAGTGGGTTGAAGAATGCAGACCGCTGGACTTGATCCGCTGCGCTAAATGTTCTGGGGCGAGGTTCGGGGAAGCTTCACACCCAGGGCCTCGGCCTCGGCGTCGACGCCCAGCTGCTGCTCTTTCCGAGGTACAGTTGGTCGAGCCCGTCACCGCCGCGCTCAGCGTGACGATCTGGAGCCGATTCATGTACTGGTTAGCTACAGAAGACGACCCCCAACTCGGAGAGACAGTGTTAAGCTTTCCAGAGCTCCTCGTTTGAGATGCTCGTTGCCTTCGGTCAAGTCCTGTACAATGATGGGGCTCCGCTGCACCACTACAGGCTTCTTTTGGCGTATGCGCAACGGCTCGCGCCTCGCGTGCGCGCCTTGATGAGACCAGCTTGGGACAATCTCACGAGGTGGGAACGCTTGGAGCCTGCTGTTCACCGCGTTCCTCTGCCTAAACCGTTGTTGAAAGCCATGTGCTCGCTTGCTGTGATCTGGAACTGGCACCGTTGCTTTCTACGGTTGTTGCAGAGTGGGAGAGGTCTTTCAAGCTTGCAGGTCTGACCTCTTGACGCCTTCGGACCTGTTCAGGGAAGATGGGCGATTCTTCCTCCACATTCGTGAACCAAAGACTCGAGGTCGAGGAGCTCGAGTCCAACATAGCACGATCAAACTGGACCCGGAGATCGCTGCTTTTGTGATGAGTACAGCTTCTCTCTTACGACCTTCTGAGTCTTTGTACTTCGGCAGCCCTAACGTTTACAGGCGACGTTGGGATCGCTTGTTGACTGCGCTGGGAGTTCCGCTTTCGCTTGCAATCACTCCTGGTTCTATTCGTGGAGGAGGGGCCGTCGCTGCTTACCAGAGCGGGGCCCTCATCAGTGAGATTCAGTGGCAAATGAGGCTCAGGAGTCAGAATACGTTGGCTTACTACTTGCAAGAAGTCTCAGCTGGTTCAGTTCTGCCATCGCTCCCGATACAGGCGCGTGAACAGATATCAGCTGCAGTGGCCTTTTTTCCCTTCGCTTTGCTCACTCCGCCCAGCGCACGTTGAGTGCAACGCCTTTTTGGCTGTTTCTTCGCTGTTGGCCGGGCTGTGATAGTGGCTGTTGAAGCCGGGCATCTTTAGGGTGCTGCAGGTTTGTAGCGCTACGATCAGCTCGGACTGGGAAAAAGTACGAGCGTGGGAAGCAGCAAGAGTTCCAACATGTCCACACATGTTTGAGCTTGTGCTGCAGCTTCAAGGGCCCACCCGCCGGCCCTTGAGGGCTGTTGAAACCGGGCATCTTTAGGATGCTGCAGGTTTGTAGCACTACGATCAGCTCGGACTGGGAAAAAGTACGAGCTTCGGAAGCAGCAAGAGTTCCAACATGTTTGAAGTGGATCCAGGCCTCTGCTGGACTATCCCCCCCCCAAAGATTTACAGATCCTATGATTTCGCATAGTCCCGAAAAAGCAGTGCATATGGAGCTGGGGTCTCTTAGTTTCTGGAATTCAGGGATTTCAGCGTCTCTTGATATCTGGCCTTCTAGGTCAGTCTCTGGTGCTAGAGCTCTGGTATTTAAATCCTCTCAGGCCTGAGACTCAAAAACTTTAAGTTTTGAGGTATCCTGGTCTAAGAGAAGAAGTAGTCTCAGAAAGTACCTGCAAGCTGTTTCTGTTATGCCTCTCTTAGCTGAAACGAATTATTTACGCAATAAGTATTGCTAATATTTTTCTCAATATTCTGGGCCCAACAATACTTATTATTCCAGACCCCTTGAAAAAATACCAGATCCTGAATTAAAGGACCGGAGAACCCCACATGTGTAGTTTAACCTAGATTTAAATGAGAGATTATTAGGATAGCGTCGCCCGGCGATAAAGGAAGATATATTTAAAAGAATGCAAACTCTTGAGACCACATGCCGCGGCGAAACGACGAGCACATTGCGCGAGCGCGACGTCGGCATCAGCTGCAGCTGGTATATGTGTATATGTATATGTATATGATCACGCGTACATTTC